AGCACTTTCCTCACACATATGAGGCATTTCGTTCAATCCTCAGCATCATATAAACATAAATAAAATAAAGATATTCTAAAAATATTAAAAGAAGAAAATAATGATCATATGAGGCTGGTTTTTATGAGGGTAGGTAATGTATACCTAAATGTGTATACTTAACAACCATAGCCTGGATCTACACTATGAAGGATTTTCAGGATAAACTTTAAAAAGCCACATAAACAGCATGCATTTTAAAATTAGATGCTGTCTAATGTCTGAGACATGGAACTCCTTGTAACCTTATTCATTAGAACTTGAATCAATTGGATCAGGGAGCTCATCCAGTACATTAAAATTTTTGAAGGCCAAACAAGATTTCAGTTTATGGCAGCTTCCACACTTAAAGTTTGAAAGATTTCAGAATAAGTTTTCTTCATTTCTTAAATTTTTTTTAAATGAATAATATACCCAGCTGGGTACAGTGGCACATTCCTGTAATCGCAGCCACTTAGGAGACTGAGGCAGGAATCTCACAAGTTAAAAGCAGCCACAATAACTTAGTGAGGCCCTGTCTCAAAATATAAAACAGGCTGGGAATGTGGCTCAGTGGTTAAGTGCTCCTGGGTTCAACCTGGGTTCAATCACTGGTATAAATAAATAATGTAAACACAAAATTTCAAATATATAGGACTATACTTTTAAAACGTAATCCTATATTTATCTTTAAACACTTCACTATTTTGATAAAAGTGCTTCTTAGCATCTGTTCAAGTATGTGTACAGTACTTGTATATTTTTGTCATTCTAACTAGGAGAGGTGACACTTTCAGGATGAGAGGAAGCCTTCCTCTTCTTCTTTTTCCTCTTCCTCTTCCCTTGCTGCTTCTTCCCCTGCTTCTTCTTTCCCTTTTCTTCTTCCCTATCCTCTCTCTACTCCTTCTCATCCTCCTTCCCTCTCCTTTTTTTAAATTTTATTTTTTCTGGTACTGGGGATTGAACTCAAGGCCACTTAACCACTTAGCCACATTCC